TACTTCTACCAACATACCAACAATTCTTCATCCATCAAGAAAGAAAAATCATCAAGTAGATTTTCGTAAGTAATTTTTTCCTTCTGCAAACTGTTCAAGAGGATAAATTTGAGTGCCACAATGGGCGAAAGAACTTTAAGAGCCAATAATCAGAGAGTAAAATCATTTAATGATTTGAGCAATGATTGCCTGAAACGCATCTTGGAGTACTTACCGCGATTTAAAGAGAGAGCCAAACTTAGTAAAGGTTAGTATTCCATGGAAACCTGAATTTTTTACTGATAAAAAAAAACACGTGATAAAATAAACCGGGTGAAAATTTAATTTCGATTGGTTTATAGTGTGCAGAAGATGGTAGAAAGTCACCAAAGCTTGCTGAAACGACACGCGTGAGGTTCAAATTGAGGAAACAGTATTGTTTAAGACATCTAGAGAAGATTACTGTAAATGACCAGTTCGTGACCATAGCAACACCAGGGAATGCAAAGGTTAAGGGCGTTATAGGTCTTTGTGGTCCTTGGCTGTGCACATTGAGAGATTTTCGTGGTTATCGAAGAACGACGACGATTTCCATTGCCTCAAAGGTATGTAGACAATTAAAGGAGATCCACTTCAATGTCTTTAGCAAGGTTCACGACAAAGAACTCAGAGATTTATTGGTGGCCAACCAGGAAGTCTCTCAATTATTAGTTGAAGTTTATATCGATAATGCAGACACCTGGATCACTGGACTCAATGGCACATCCATTGAGAGATTGAGAATAATCATTATGAAGTTCGATGAAGTGCGAAATCTCTCGCGGCGTCAGAACTCGCAAAACCTGACAGGCGATTAATGCAATTATTGGGCGTTATTTAAGCTCTACCGCACAGAGTAAGACCTCAACATCAATAATTTATTATCAAAAAAAAAAACCCTGAGATGAGAAAACCTACGAAAATGATTCCCAACAATACGAGAATCCCATAACCAAAAATACTCGTGAAACTCACCAGCGAAACGATGTACTACTCCCCGCTTGTCGGCTCCTCGGCAAAGTCTCCACATACGAATCTCCGGGGCCCTCAAATGTCTCGTTTTACTGGTCGGTACTCTCCCGATTAACTACAATTGTCCTTTGATTCACACATAAAAAAAACTCCTAATAATGGTCGCAATGGCGAGAACTAACTGTGCTATACTCCCGTGTGCCACATGTGAGGAAGCTAATCGATACTGACGCTCGATGGGCCACGATGGTGGCTTGGCGCACGGAGATGAGACGTGGACAGAGCGCCACGTGCGCCTGGATGGCGCAACAATTACATAACGGTCGGTAACCTAGATTTCTACCTAACGAAATTCAAATTGAAATAACTCTATACAAAAATTACTTTACTACAACGATTGAAATGGATGTCAGAGTGGGTTATTAACTCAAGAAAAATTCCTATTCAACTATAATCTCTTCTCCGGAGTCGTATTCTCGGGATCACGGGGAAAATAAATTACGAAGGAAACGAACAAAACTTAATTACAAAAAAATGAAAACAATTAGAAAAATCGAACTCACACGACCTTGGCGATTCACGCGAGAGCAACGGTCGGAATTGGTCGCATGACCTTCCCACCTAACCCAAAAAACTAACCCATCCCAAACCCCAAAAATGCACTAATTGAGCGGTAGTATTCCAACTACTCCTACACAATCCCCGAAAATTCGAAAGGAAAGGAAAAATCCTTAAAAATGATCGCGCAGCTCGGTAATATCTCGGCCTAAGTCACGAAAATTCTATCGGCCCTATATAGTTAATTTTTTCCCTATCCAATTAACAAAACAGAAAGCGTGAAACGCAAGGTAAAGACAAAACGAATCCAAAAATACGAAAGAGGCGTCAGAACGCAAAACCGAAATTCTGATGAATCCAAAATGACTCGAAATCTCTAATTATTAACAAAACGAATTGACTCGAAACTATTGGCTCGACTGGGTCATTTTCTCTACGTACTTACCGGTACTGTTACCGGTACTTTTTCCGATGATCCCGCGGCGAGTGAAGTAATTTCCCCAGAATCCCTCACAGCGGTGAAGGAAATTAAATTATAAAAATCCAATCCAACCATATTAAACAATATTTTTTACGTATTATAGGGAGATAATTTGAAAATTGGTGTCTTCTCCATTATTTACGCAGGGTATGCGTATAGCTATAAAAAATAGAATTGAATTATCATTGAATCAAAATGAATAGGAGAGGAATAGGGGAGTGTTGGACAATATGGAAGCCATTAAAACTTTCTACATCTCTTGCTGGATCTCCGTAACAGATTTGTTAACTTCGTCGAGTGTTAATCTATCATTAATTAACTAGAAATCGAAATGAATGTCTGGGAATGTCACCTAAAGACGACAAAGAAAGGATGTGGTGAGAAGGCGGAAGTTTGCATAAATATATATTACCAACAAGGCAGTGGATTGGGAGTGTTGAGTATTGGAATTGAAGGATAAATTGGGTGAAATGAAGGAGTTTACATATCTGATTATAAACTATAAATTAAAGATCAATTTGTGCACAAGAAAATTTATTCAAACTCTTTGAGTGAAAACCACATTGAATATTATTGAAGATAGACGAAGTGCCCCAGATATAATCATAAGTCTGCTTTTTCACAGATTGCCGAAACACACTTGACAGAAATATTATAGAAAAACCTATTGCATTCGTTAGAAATTTCTATTGAATTCCTGTAGGACTTTTATTGACCATTCTATTAGTTTGGTGCTGATTTTTATTGAACAACTTCATTGCTTTTTTGCGCGTTTTCTTTTAATGACAATGTTAAATAGGAAATACTGTATAGGAAAATTGATAGATTTTCATTGTTATATAGAATCTAATCTACAGAAATATTTGCTATGTAAATTGTTCATCATAACTTTTTCAATTTTTTCACTTGAATTTCGTAATCAAAAATAAAGAAAAACAAATGCAAAAGCTCATGAACTTTATGCTGAAGATTTTCTATCAAACAGACCTCAAAAGAATCAATGATTCTATAATCTATAATCTATTTTCTATGCGGCCATTTTCTTTTTCTATAATCCATTTTCTATGGGGATATTTTCTACTGACAAAAACGTACAGAAAAGCAGTGGAATTGGTCAATAAAATCAGCAAAAATTTAATAGATTTTCCAATAAAAGTCCTATAAAAATTCAATAGAATTTTTTAGCGATTTTTTTGAGTTTTTCTATAATTTTGTTTGTGCATCAAAAACTGTGTTTTTTAAATCCATTTTCGATATTATTGAAAAAAAATTGAATATATAATAATAATCATTTGGGATCTTCAAATCGATTATTGATTGTTAACAAAGGATGGTTGAATGGTGGGGAGGTAATGGGGGCATTGTTTGGAAGAAACCTATCCACCATTATTTTTAGATCTTGTCCCGTCGCAATGAGCCGTCGATTGAGACCATCCACCGCTGCATGGAAAAGGCTGTTTTGGGTGGGGGTCCCATACAGAACGAGCTCCTGCAGAACTCTCGATATGCGCAACAACCTCTCCACATTCTCAGACTATCCTGGGGCAGTGACTCAATACTAAGGTCTCCAAATTGGTACATAGGTGCAACGATCCTGCTTGAATTCCTGGAGACTCACTAATTGCTAAGGACTTTAATTGCATCAGCTGGCTTAAAGTGACAAATATGTTGTCAGTAATGTGACGATTGGCTGAGCATAAAAACGATTCCAAATTTGAAATATTGACCATTTTTACTGAAAAATAGCTTTACATTGATATTTTAATCAATTTTTCTCACTTTCGTAGCTAATAGGGGGGGTTCTGGATATGAACTCTTGATTTTTGTCAATCTGCTCGAGTGAGGGGGAGGGGGGAGAGGATCTCATGTGAGATTTTTCCTAGCGTAACTCTTTTGACCCTGATGACCCGTATGAGCCTTATGACCCTTCCGACCCTTATTTTCTAAATCTGATTCGGAATTTCATTCCCAAATTATTTTATAAATCTGATTCTCAAATTTTATTGTTCAATTTTTCTTTTCAATTTTCATATTTTTTCATTTTCCAAATCAAATTTATATTTGAATTTCAAAAACAATAAGCTGGTAGTCCCGGTACAAGCGATAGTGATTTACTTCTTTGTTGATTGATCCTTTTTATAAATATTGTGAATCAACAGGGGATCGAACCCGAATCAGTCATGTGATGAGTAAGTATGCTACCGCTTACGCCAGGACTACCAGCTTATTAGTTTCAGAAATATTTTCGTTTATATGTATTGATCTGTTGGGGGAGTAAACGTCATACCGGATGAGGGGGAGTAAAAATCATACCTCCCTCATACTCATCCAGTATGAGGTGGGACTGGTGCCTCGGGGACTTCCGCTACGAATGTTGCTGGGAGAGCTCCAAAGGGTTCGAGTGGAGCTAAGGTTCACCAGGTGAGTTCTCAGGGTTCTAGCTCGCAATGTTCACTTTGTAAAGGAGAGCATTCACTGGTGGGATGCCCACAGTACTTGGGTCTATCCATCAATCAGAGGTTGGAAAGGTTGAAACGCTTGAAGCTATGTTTTAATTGTCTTGGGCATCATTTCAAGGAAAACTGTTCTTCCACGTGGAGCTGCCAGAAGTGTTCCAGCCGACATCATACTTACATCCATTTTAAAAAATCAAGGACTGTAGGAGGAGGTAACGGTGAGACTCCTCAGGTGAATCGGCATCTATCGGCTAATGCTCCTGAGTTCGATCCTGCCGCTAAGGCTCCTGGTGCTACATCTCATGCAGTCGCAACGGCGATTGTGAAGGTGAAATCTGGTGCTCGGGAGCTGATTGAGGGGCATGCACTGATCGACCCATGCTCTCAGGTAACATTGACATTGGAAAGGTTCGCGCAGAGACTTCGGCTTCCTCGTCGTTGTTTTTCTCGTTCTGTGACTAGAGTTGGTGGATCTGGTTCGGTCCCTTATAAGGGCATCCCCTGGCATGATTGTCATGGAGTTGCACTCTCGAGGAGGAAAGCTTGTGTGCCAGGCTGAGGCAATTGTGCTGGCTCACCTGACTGATTACGTGCCAGTCGCTGAACCTTTCGATCGATGGTCGATTCTGGATGGATTGCAGCTGGCAGACCCTAATTATAGCATTACGAGATTCATCGATATCATTCTAGGTGTCGATGTCTACTCTCAGATCATTCAACCCGGTCTGAGGAGGGAGTCGTTGGATCGACCAATTGTACAACAAACATTTTTTGGTTGGATCCTCTCAGGGAAGAATCAGACTGAGGGGGTTTCGGAGCAGCTGATGTCAAGTTTTCATATCTCAGCTGATGATGAACTGCATAATCTAATAAAAGGGTTCTGGATACAACAGGAGGAGTTCCTGGAAGTCCCTAACGAAACGGATTCCAGTGGCGCTGAATGTGAGGAGTATTTTCGTTCAACTTGGACGGGAGATGAGACTGTTAGATATGTTGTCAAGCTACCCTTCAAGTGTGCAGTTGGTTTGCTGGGAAACTCTCGTCATCTCGCCCTGAAGATGCTGCGTAGATTGGATGTGAGATTCGCTGGGAATCCTGGACTACGTGAGAAATATCAAGATTTCTTGAATGAATACGAAGAGTTGGGTCACATGTCTCGAGTGGATCCAGGAGGAGGTGAGTCTTCGGTGATTTATTATCTGCCGCATCATCCGCTAGTGAGGAAGACTAGTCTGATCACCAAGCTCAGGGTGGTCTTCAACGGCTCAGCCAAGTTTTCTTGGAGGTATTCACTGAACGATTTGCTCCATGAGGGCCCAAAGCTACAAGCAGAGATCTTCAACGTCATTACTCGGTGGCGAAAGCATCGTTTCGTGTACTCTGGGGATTGTTACCAAGATGTTTCGTCAAATTTTGGTGCATCCAGACCAAAATTTGACGAAAGTCTCTGATCGAGACTTTCAAAGAATCCTCTGGAGGAATGAGGACGGAGAGCTAGTTGAGTACTGTTACTTATTCATATACGTTTTTCTATAAATGATATTATCTTGAGCAAATTGAAAAGTTACGAACAATGGAATTAATCAAAAACATAAGAGACCATCGAAATGGGGTCCTCTACTTATTTCTAAATCGACAAATCAACTCACTCTAAATAATGAATCACCACATATATTTCAAGCAAGAGTCATATAAAAAACATTCTTAGATAAAAGACCGAAAAGGCTCTATACAGGGTGTTTCAGAAGTACATGTACATCTGAACACCCTAGGATCAGGGGGTGATTCTAAGCAGAAAAGTCCTCTTGCACTTTTTGATCAGACTCACCCCTAAAAAGTTATTGGCAATTAAGGGTGGGCCAATGGGGAGTGATTTTTAAGCGGGCGCACATCCATGTGATATGCAGCATATGTGTGTGTGCCCGCCCGAACATTCTACGAGACAAAAGAGCGCAACGATATTGCTCTCTCTCTCTCTCTCTCTCTCTCTCTCTCTCTCTCTCTCTCGCTCTCTCTCTCTCTTCGCTGAAATGACGAAGAGGGGAGAATGAATGGGGGAACGTAATTCCCCCTCCACACGCAATGGAAGGACGATCAACCGATCGTCTTTCCATTGGTTACAGCGTCGAGTGGCGCGGGGAACGCGCGTCTCGGTTGAAAATTCATCCCTCCCCCCCGAATTATAGCTAAGGAATGAAACTTGTGTCACTTATTGAGTATTAAATGCTCAATTCAGTGACACGAGTTTCATCCCTTGGCGCCTTTTGGGGACGGAGGGGCGAATTTTCGAAAGTGCGAAGAGATTGAAAAAAAAATTTTGTTTTCAATTCAAAAATTAATTCCTCCGACCCTAACTAGGAATAAGGGATGAAATTTGTGCTGTGTTGAGCATTTAATACTCAATGAGTGACACAAATTTCATCCTTTAGCGCCTAATAGG